TATGGGAAGTGTAGAGATCATGCACCACACACTATAAAAAAAGACTTGCTTACAACAAAAAAAATACACACTGCTTTAAGGACTTTCACTAATGTGTTTAGTTATTCATTCTGTTCATTACTCAAGAATCATTCATTCTTGCAAACTGTTTAATCCTCTGACTTCTTTTAAGAATCAAATAAAACATGTTTCTTCTAAGTGTACTTGGTTTATGACTTCTGCTGTACCAAATTTTTTAAGAGTTTTCTAGACAGATTTTCAGTAACTCATGATGCAGCCTACATGTAAATATAAAGGAATAGCAACACAGTACTCCACAAGAGTACATTCCTAAAGCAGTGCTAGGAAATAACTGTCAGAGATACAAGTGTCGTACTCCACTACATTACCTATCAAGATTCACCCTTCAACAACTGAACTTAAATTTACCATTTTGGGCACCAACTTAAGGCTTTCTAATTCTTCAGCTAGTTACTCAGAAACTCAAGCACTGGGGAACACAGGTTTATCTGAAAAGCTCAAAAGGTACCTGTGAAGATCTGGGAAAGTCAGCAAGTACGCCCTCTCCCCAAAACCCCCAGCGATATACACACTGCTCCTGACCTGCTGCATGTTTCCAAGTACATTTTAGAGCACATATAGCACAGGTTTTTCCAGTAACTACAACAGCTGAACTCCCACTGCCTAATAAGAATGCACTGTAAAAGCCTACATGAACCACCTAGAAAGCAGTCTGGAAAAATACTCATAGGTCTCAATCTAGACTCTACTAAGTTAATGAACAGCTTTTAGAAACATTGTAATCCTCTTGAATTGAGATTTAAATCAGGAATTCTCACAAGCACACTCACCTTCTTAGTCCTGCGATTTCATATGCTAAGGGAGACTCCTGGAAACTTCGTTTATGAAGACCTAGCTCTCTTTACTAAAATTATAACGGCATGGCACCTTTAATTTCTATGACTGCTAAAAGCTTTCCAAGTTCATTTAAATCACAGTTTAATTTAATGATTTTATTCTAACACTGACTTTTAAGAAAACATTAGCAACATCCACAAACCAAAGAGAAGCTGCACGTTCCACAGTTAGCATTATTCGGAAATAAGCAACTGCCAGCATGTGATGATAGGTACAAAAAGCAGTCTAAAAATTGTTCCTATAGAATACAGACTAACAGGCAAACTTAACAGAGTACCTTTCTCAAAGTTTTCCACAGGTGCTGTCACCTGTGTATTATATGCACATTCTCTCCCTGAGAAGACAAGAAGAAATTACAACTTAAAGGCTATTTCAGGTATTCCATAGGCATCTGCTACAAAGTCCACCAACTCCATCTCCATACACTGCAACATGAACTCCCACTTCCTGCACTGGACTTTGAAGTCTCTTCTCCACATTTCACTCCAGCTACATTTGAAATGGTTTTATGTGGGAGTTATTTTTACTACTCAGTTATTCTCCTCAGAAGGCCATGTACAAACACCAGTGTGCAGTGACTAATAAAGTGCACATGTATCATAAAAGATTTGTTGGATTTACTGAGCTTTTTACTGTTGCTTTCTAGTAAAGTGTGTATTTCCTGTTCAGAAAGCAGAACCTGCTAGTAAGTTTTCCTCCACCTTTTCTTCCATTCTTTTCTTCCTTTCCAAGAGCCAATAATGCTGACATATTTTATCCTTCACTAAATGTGAAACTCACAGTCTCACAAGTTCCTTTACATTTCAGCACCACTGCTACAACTATGCAGGCACATCTTCTGGGACAGGTGTGGAGACGCATTACATTGGACCAGAAGAACAAACCCTCCTGACCAACAGGCTACATACCAAACCTCATACACCTGAATGCCACAAAACACGTATTGCCCAACTCAAAAAAACACAGACAAGTGACTTTCAGAACAGCTGACCAGCAATAGCTCCCATGTTGGGGTGTCATTGTTTTAGCTTTGCTGCAGAAGAGGACATCCCAACAAGACCAGCAGTCACTGCATCCTGGCTTGCTGCCTCAGGCCCGTTGCTGAAGCTGAATTTACCTCGTGTCCCTGCACAATGGCAATCTCACTCTATGTCACAGAAAGAAGCCACACCTGAATTGCATAATGTCACAGGCTGATGATACCCGACTATGAAGGCCTGATACTCAAGCAAACAGTAGTATTTATGGAATTACTCTGACTAGATGCAAGAGTACAGTTAAGTCTTCCTAACAACCACACATACCAAATGTGTTTGACACACCAATCGGAAAGCTATCCTGTAGCTGAATAAATGGGTTTGAAATGCGTTACTTTGAAACTACGTTATTTTGAAATGCCTCCAGAAACAACTGCAAACAGCTCATAATCTGAAGCCCTCCTTCATTTCAGCACCATTAAACACTACCTGTAAATGTGTCCCAGCACAGAAGATCACCAAAATAATATCAACTAGTCCTTGCCAGCACATACAGACAAAACTAAAACATTTCTCTCTACAGCATTTTAAAGGTTCAAGCACTGATGGATGGAAGTACTTCACCATATATTTAAATGCCACTAAATCAGTACAGTTCACTGTGCACTTTTCTTAAAACAAACCTGTTCTTATTCATAATCTGGCAAAATGAGATTAATAATAACCCTTCAATTAATTTTTCATGCAAAAATCAGCATTTCAGACACAAATCTATTTCAGTTCCAAGAAGGAATTCATCAATATACAAGGAGAATAACTTAGTAGTTTTTGTAAAGCAACCACAACTTGTCAAAGTGACAACCACGAGAATTTCGTTTTGTCAACACAGCCACCATCCAAACCTGCTTGCCCAGGTATGTTAACCGAGGACTTCTTTTGTTTTTTAAACAACCACTGCATGTAACACCCCACCTAAATTAAAAAAAAAACCTATGCAAAGGCAGCAGGGCCTACACACGATTTCTATGTAGCCTTACTGATACCTCAAGACACCGCCGTCAGCTCCAAGGAGCTCCAGGACAGGGCAGCCGCAGCTGAACTGAGCCGCACTTTACACCCGGCGGACGAGAGGCCGCGCCGAGGCCGTGCCCCGCCAGCCCTACCCGGGTACCGGCAGCCCTGCAGAGAACGGGGCTCTCAGCGCCTGCTCCCACGACCCCAGCCGGGCTTCACCGCCACGGAGACGGCGGGCAGCGCTGACCGGCGGTATCCCCGGTCCCTCAAGGACCCCGAGAGCAGCTTCCAGCCGCAAGGGGACCCCCCCCCCGCCGCCACGGAGAGCGGTGTAAGCGCCCGAAGCCCCGTAAGGGGAGGCGGGGAGCTTCCCACCACGCTCCCTCCTGGGCTAGCAGCCGGGCGGCGGCCCCACTGCCCGGAGTGCCCCCCATACCCGCGCAGCGCCACGTCGCCGGCGAAGAACTCTCCACCCGTGGCCTTCTTCCAGCTCCCCACACCCTCCGCTGCCTCCTCAGTCTCTGCCCTGCCCTGCCCACTCACCGCGCACCGGCCGCCGCCACCTCTCTCGCACTCCGCGCACGCACGCACCCGCCCCGGCGCTGCCGACGCAGCCAACATGGCCGATAGGAGAGGCCGCGCCACGTCAAGGGGCAGAGAGCGGGAGGCGGGCTGAGCGCCACGGTTTCCCCCGGCCAGGCGCAGCGCCCGGCTGCCACCCGCTCCTGGCCTGTACCCCGGAGAGAGGAGCGGGGCAGGCGTCAGGCATCCCGCAGCGCTGACCTTCACCGTCCCCACGGCTCCTGCCCGTTTGTGTGCCTGTGTTTTTAATAACCCGCTCGACTTCCAGCTGTCTCTAAAGATCGTTTCTTCCAGTCTCGCTCTTCGGACTGCCTGGGAAAAAAGATACTGGAATGATATTCCTGCTGGGTTTAGCCTGATAGAGTGCTTTTACTATCTGCACAATAACTTTCACATAAATGTAACCATACAGTTTTGCCCAGTTTGGCAGTGTGGTTATCACCCCCCCCCCCCAACCCAAGCAGGGGTGACACCGAGCACTTCAGAATCGTTTTAAACAAGCCTGCCACAAAAGGCTAGAGCAGTGTCTTCTGTCTTTCCAGAGATACCTCAGTGCGACAAACACGGACATGGAAGAGGCCTGAGAAAATTCTATGGGCTACCATGTCCTCCTTCACTGTGACTGAAAACATGCTATGACCACCAACTAAAACATACTTATTCTCTTTCCTAATACATAGATGTAATCATGATAGACTTTCTATCCCAATACTATCTCCAGTAACGTTTGCCAGTCCTCTTCAGTCCTAAAACATGCCTAGGTAAACAACAGAAGAACTTAAAGGGAGGGATGTTAAATTTTCACATCCACAAGTACCACTGCCAGGTGTGGGAGCATTAAAGCAGGAGCCTGCCAAGGACATGCAACCTCTTCAGTTTATAAAAAGCACCCACCCCCACCAAAATACGCGGCATGGCAAAATAACTTCAGACAGATGCACAGAAAGCAGTTCAGTGCTGTAATTTTAGAAGTACTCAAACACTATGTGAAACATTCTCAGAAAGTTACACTGAAAAGAGGCAAATCCCGAAGTCAGAACTGCAGGATGAAATCTGTAACCTGTGAGAGAAAAAGGGGCAACTGACACTTAAAAGGGGAGAAGAAAGCACAGGAAAGTATACTATTATGAAAGTTCACTACAAACAAAAGGTATAAACATTCTTAATCAGTCATTAGCACAATTAAATTTCATCATGACTCAAGCCAGTGCTCTAAACTTATGTCTTGCAGCTGTTAGGATGGTGCAAACCACAGAGAAATGCAAGGAGAAGCAAAACAATAGAATAGAAAATAGGATCCTAACAGGGTGTATACTCATTATAGGAAGATATTATCTCCCAATCTTAGAGGGTAGAGTTAAAGCATTTAATTTTTTTTTAATGCAGAATTTTCAGTTCATGTGTTAATTGTTTTGGTTTTTCCCTCAGCAGTGCATGTCCACTGATGACAACTCACCCTTTCTTTGGAAAAGTACTCTTCCATAAGGCCTAGGCAGTTGAGGAGAAAGAATATTCATTCCTAGTTTCTTCCTCTTCTTACACTGAGCCATATTTGCTAGTCACTTCATCAACACTGTTGGTAAAACTTGCTAGAAACAATTTTATTATCCATGGAAGAAGACTCCCTGTAACAATTAAAAATACGTTACTTCATTTTAAATGTATAAATGGAAAGTTCCAGAAAAAGAAATGTAAGGATAGAAAGTTATTTAACCTGTATTTATATCTGTGGATTCTTTTTCTGTTCACAGTTCTTCATGACAAACAGAAAAAAAAAAATTCTGAATATTACTGAAGTAAAGGAAGAAAACTTTTTACAGGGACTCACCAAAGTTTTTCTCTTGCCTATTGGTCAGCCTTTCCAGAAGTATCACAGTAGTTTTAGCTAAGCAGGTATTATATCCTGTAGTGACTGCAGCAGCTGCATGGTCCTTAACTAGAACATTAGATCGGGTTTCAGAATTAAAACTCTTTGTTACACGTAGGTGGTTCTGGAAACACCTTAAAACAAACAAAAGCCAGTGGAGAGGAGGAGTTAAGGTAGGTGTTTGTTCAGAACTGCTAAAACACAGCCTTGTGGAAGAAAAAGCATTGCTCTTTTCGAACTGGTATCAGACGTGACAAAGCAACTCTGATCTACTAGATGGACTGTGGGTAGCACTAAACTGACTTTGCATGCAGCAGAACCAATGGGCAAAATAATATACAGATTGATATGTTGTGTAACAGGGATTTCATAATACACAATGTAAATTATTACAGCATTATCTTTCCATTTTTTATCTTAACTAAGAAACAATCCCCCTTTGTGCCAATGCTACCTCATTTTTGATTTGGCATGTAGATACTCCCACTACACAGCAACAAAATAAGAACTCAGGCATTAACCCTTACAGATTGAGATATCTGTTTAAATTTACAGCAGTCAACTTTTATGCAACTGATTTCAGTCATAAATCCTAAAGCATTTCAAGGAACTGCAGAATCCCAGAATGGTTTGGGGTGGAAGGGACTTTAAAGATGATCTCGTTCTCTTTTGACGGGCAGCACATGAGCAGGCCCACCTCCCACACTGCCTCAAGAGGCACCCGCCCCTACCGCACAGGCAGCCGCCACGGGGTACAGGGGAGGACCCGGCTCGGTCCCGCAGTTCTCGCGAGAACTACTCGCACTGCCTCCCAGCGGCACCCGGTGAGGCGGGGTGTTCGTAGCGGTGGCGGTGAGGTTATGGAGTCGGGTATGGAGGAGCTGATGCCGCGACTGCTGCCTGTGGAAGACTGTGATTTGGCTGAGGACTTCGACCCCACGGTGCCTCCCAGGACACCCCAGGAGTATCTGAAGCGCGTCCAGTGAGTGGCGGGTGGGCTGGCGTAACCCGCCTGTGAGCGGCGCAGCAGCCGGTGCTGCCCGGGTTGAGTTTCGCGTTGCTGTGCTGCCGCTAGCTCCCTAGCCGCAGCCAGCAGAGCCGTTTCGCTGGTGCTCCCGGCGCAGCGGGATCCCGTCCGGCATCGCGGCTAAACTTACACGCTTCCTGCGAGGCTGCTGCTGCTTCGCCGGGGCTGTGTCGCGTACGCGGCATGTCTCTCGGCGGGTCGGTGCCCCACAGCGCTGCTCACAGCTCCGGGACCGGCGCTGCTTGGTTTTCCCCTGGAGGAGAGAGCCCTGGCGCCCGGCTCTCCGTGCCAGCCGCTGTGCGAGGCCTCCCGAGGCCTCGCTGCGGGAAGCGGTGCGCAGTTTATAGGGGCGTTAGAATATAAGCAAGCTCCGAAGCGGCTGGAGCAGCTGTGTAGAAGCTGAGAGTACTTGACCTATCAGTCTCAAGTCAAACTTTCCGTAAGAATTCCCGCTGTGTCCAGTGTTTTACATACCTGAAGATTTGTGCAGGTGCCGTCTTTCAGAGGTGTGCTGCATATGACCACCTGTTACGAACAGGAAAAACTGGATTTTATTTTGTAGGATTGAAGCAGCTCGATGTCCAGATGTGGTTGTGGCGCAAATAGACCCCAGAAAACTGAGGAAGAAGCAGACAGTGAATGTTTCAGTAAGTCTGAAAACTTTCACACGTTGTTTTGGGGTTTGGTTTGGTTTTTTTGAGAAAAAAAAAAAATGGGAAAGATGTTAATATAATGGTTTTACTACTTTGGGGAATATTTGGCATAACTAAATAGCATGCTGGATTTTAAAAGCATCTACAGGATGAGTTCAAATGTCAGGGTTTGAAGAAACACCTGTTCCGCTGCTGGGTAACAGCAGGCTTTATAATTGCTCTAAACTGATAATGTCTATGCTACTTGATATACAGCAAGCTGTTCTGTTTGTCTCAGGTAATCTAATACTGAATTAAATTTCACAAATATTTTATCATAAAACCTGCATAAATTTTAGAAAGCTATCTCCATATTTATATTTGGGTTTAAATATGTATCTAGGGTAAGGGCAGTACATACTGCTATACTTTACTAAAGTTAGACGAAATTTTAGCACTGCTTCTTTCCTTTTTGGTGTAATATTTTATTGCACTATTTCCTGACTGCCCAAGTAGATTTTTCTGTTGTCTCGTTGCCCTTGCCAGCTTGGTTTTCAATCTACTTTCAAATTGTTTGAGAGACCAAGATTGTCTTTCTCAAGTGAAAACTCTGTAATCTGAAATTTAACTACTCCATTGCTCAAGAAAAGTTTTTAGTACTGACATACAACCATGTAACTTCTGTGACCATTCTGTTCATTTGTTTTTGTAGTGATGTTCTTAAACATTTGTAGAAAGTTGTTTGCTTTTTTTTAATAACTCTTTCATCTTTATCTTTAAAGAGGTTGTATCTACTTAACTGTCAGTTAATTCTAAAACGTATTTTTGTGGTCTTCTTTCTTCCTTGACTTACTGTCTTGGCAAGTAGAATGCTTCAGATTCATAGCAACTGTCCAAGATGGCACCCTGCTTTTTATAAACAGGGAAATTTAAGGCAGAGCATTGCTAGAAAGAAGACCTTAAGTAGTTGCCAGTGTATTTTGAATACTTAAGTTTTCTTCGTATTTGCATACAAGAAGAGTCAGAAGAAATTTTTTCTAAACCAATTGGTAAGTCAGTCTTGGATGTGGTCATGGAATTACCTTTCTTAAATGAAGGTTTAAAGAGTATTGTCTACCTGATAGTAAATGTTTACTGACTCTCTTGCTCTTAAGGATTCTTCTTACAAAGCTTTATTTGCATTATAACTAGTGCCAGTGTTTTCTTAGATTTCCGGATGTCAGCCTGCTCCTGAAGGATACTCCCCAACACTCAAGTGGCTGCAGCAGCAAGTGGCCAATTTCTCAGCTGTTCGTCAGGTACAAAATGGGGGGGGGGGGGGGGGGAGGGGGAGGTGAGGGGACTGTGGATAGAACACCCCTTTGTTTATGGGGGACAATCTCGCATCTAGTATAGAAGTGTTATGACTTTATGGTAGGACAGATATCTGTACGCAAATGTTTTAAGCTCTTGGGGGGGGAAAGAAATCTGTTATATGCTATGTGGCTTTTGAACTGCTGGTAAAACTCTTGAGTCATGTTTAAAGAAAAAAAAATCTGCTTCAACTTCAGCAAAATATCTGTTGGTGTTTAGATTAAATGATGTGGTGTAGCTGAGGGAGGACATAAGCCCCTGTGTTAACTGGTTATATTAAAACCTAGTGCCAGCAGGAATGTTCTACAGAACTCAACACCAACTGAAAAAACAAGTGGATTCTAACCCATGAGGAGATTCATGTATATACAACACAGTGTCCATTTAGAATATTGACAGTGGTGGCACCCATTACAAGGAGAGATACTGACTTGGTAAAATGTATTTGCAAGGTTGTGTTAGCACAAACTTTTCCATACTGCACCCTGCTCTTAAATAACCAACTGCAGTGAAGCTGCTGTAGCACTCAATTTTGCATGCGCTCATTTACCCTGTTTTGTCAGGGAAATAAATTGGTGAAGGTGGGAGTCTGTACTGCTGCATCTACAATGTAAACATTAACTGAGCTAGCCCTTATTTCTACAAGGTGTCACATTGCATAATAGGTATTGTGCATAATCTGAGGTTTTAGTAGAACAAGCAAACTTACATCTAAAGGTATATTCATTGTATAGATACTCCTTTTATACCCAAATGAATTGTCCTCTCATCTGTGCCAGAATTAACACTTTGAAGTATTAGAGTATTCTAAAAAATATCTAAGAATGAAAAGAGAATCAGAAGTTACTTGTTCAAACACTATGCATCAGCTGCTGTTACAGCATTTTTAGTGGTCACTTTTACTGCTACAATAACAACTGAGTTAGGGGGAAAATTTCTTCTGTTACAAGAAGTTTACACTCTGTACAGGAAACTGTCCAGCAGGACAGTTTTTATTATATGGCATCCCTATCAGGTAGAAGGAATACCCTAGGAAAGCATGCTTTTTTCCTAACAGTTCTGTAGATACCTGATAGAGGTACAGACCACTGCTGGAAACAGGATATTGGCTTTATGTGTGGTTTTGGACTAAATCAGCTTTTTTTCATAAGCTTTAAAGACTTTAAAATTTCTTCAGCTTTAATATTACTTCCAAAAACCCAGCATGAGCAGCTTAGTTTCATTTATACTAAGAGGCATGGCAACTCTTTGGCCAGTTATGCCTCTACTGATTTACAGAACATCATAAAATAGACTTTTAATGCATTTTAAGGACAATGAAGAGTAGCTATGGCTAGGATAAAATAACTGCAAAGTTGAACTGTGGTTTCGTTTTAATTACTCAGAGCCTGAACAAGCACCGAAATCACTGGCAGTCACAACATTTGGACAGCAATGTTACTATGGTGAGTAGAATTCATAGCAGTGCTGGGGGGGGGTGGGTGCTTCAGGTCATTAAACCGGTGGTTAATCTTGCTTTACAGTCTAATGCAACGTCTTGGTCATATTATCAAGTCTTCTCTTTGGTGTCTTCAATATAGCGGTATTTCACAGTTTTCATTTCTTTTTAGCCAAAGCCAGAGGATGAAGAAGGCTGGAAGAAGTTCTGCCTAGGTGAAAGAATATACTCGGAAATAGATACACAATCTGATGATGAAAGTCTAGGAATCAATTACATAAAGGTGAGTATAGAACTTGCATCTAATTTTCAGATGCTATTTTCAAGAATAACTGCCAGAAACAACTCTATTGTTTATTACCACTTTGCGCTACACAGAAAGACTCTTGTGAGCCCAGAAATTCCCCTTTTTCTTCCCCTTTAAGTGGAAACCAAGTGAAGCAGAGAACAAGTCTATCCCTTTAGTCAAAAAGTTTTTGTTACCCCTAAAGCATGCTACTTAGTTGCTCACTGAACTAAAGGGGAAGCTTTCTGCATAATGTGCTTTAGTGTTTTGTTAAATGGTGATACGTGCCTGCTCTCCTTATACATGCTATCCTACAAATGTGCCCTTCACTGTCGTATTTTGAGAAAACAAAACTAACAGATACCAGGGAAAGCAAGGTTCTTTGATACCAAATTTGACTGGACCTTATCTTGAATTTGCTTGAAGGCTTCTTAAAAATGGATTTCAAAGCTTAGAAAGACTTTCAATTCACTGCAAATGTCTGAGCACTACATTAAAATGTTAGTATGTTCTAAACTAGAACAAAAATGTCTATGATAATGTTTCCAACTTGATTTTTTTTTTCAGGTTGGCTTTCCCCCTCTGCTAAGTATTGTAAGCAGAATGAATCAGGTAAGCCTACCTCTTAGAATTGCATAGTGACATTGCATAAACGATTATTTCTCATATTCTGTCTGTTGCAGGTATTGCCTATTTTTGTGTGCTAGAGTAGGCAACTGTTTATTACAATTGCTATTCATTGTACACTTGCAAGAAAAACAAGTAATCGCTATCTGACCTTCAGCTACAAACAGCTTTACTAGTGAACATTCATTGTGTCTAGTTTTAAAAGTGTTTTGTC